AAGGTTCTCTCTGAAGGGCCCCTCTGAAGGGCCCCTCTAAAGGGCCCCTCTGAAGGTTCTCTCTGAAGGTTCTCTCTAAAGGGCCCCTCTGAAGGTTCTCTCTGAAGGGCCCCTCTCAAACAGCTGCTGTGTGTTTAATATAAACCGTTGATGAACCCGTCAACAGCTCGTCTCCAGCGTCCTCCTCTTTTCCCCAGAATGCCTTGTCTTCCTCTGGCCCTGCTGTGGGCGGGGCAGACACACCCCCTGGCCCTTGTTTTTGCCTGACTCCGCCCGGTCGATGGCGGTGCAGGACAGCCCCGTGTGGCAGTGGCAGCGCCCCAGGTTCCTCCTGAGTTTGGTGGAGCCCCTCAGCAGCAGACAGGCCTCGCCCTCCCTCGGGATCTTCTGACACCGTTTCCCCGTCAGGTAGCGGACGCAGCACAGACCCGCCCCACAGTCTCCAGACCGAACGCAGCTCGCCATCTCTGGAGCTGCAACAGGTCGACACGTGTCCTGAGGCTGGAACAGCAGCAGTGCACTCTGGGACATGGAGTTCATATCGCATAACTCACCTTTTGTCCTGTTGAAGCTGTCGGTGTCCACCTGTCTGTCCCCCTGTCCGTCCACCTGTCTGTCCCCCTGTCCGTCCACCTGTCTGTCCTGAGAGGACGGCCTCCTCTGAGCTCTGTTACTGCAGCCTCCTCTCTGAGAGAAAGATTTGTGTTGTGTTCATCATGTATGTTGTGTTCATCGTGTGTATTGTGTTGATCATGTGTGTTGTGTTCATCATGTATGTTGTGTTCATCGTGTATGTTGTGTTGATCGTGTGTGTTGTGTTCATTGTATGTTGTGTTCATTGTGTGTGTTGTGTTCATCATGTATGTTGTTTTGAACATGTATGTTGTGTTGATCATGTATGTTGTGTTCATCATGTATGTTGTNTGTTGTGTTCATCATGTATGTTGTGTTCATCGTGTGTGTTGTGTTCATCATGTATGTTGTGTTGATCATGTGTGTTGTGTTGATCATGTGTGTTGTGTTCATCATGTATGTTGTTTTGAACATGTATGTTGTGTTGATCATGTATGTTGTGTTGATCATGTGTGTTGTGTTNCTCTGAAGGTTCTCTCTAAAGGGCCCCTCTGAAGGGCCCCTCTGAAGGTTCTCTCTGAAGGGCCCCTCTGAAGGGCCCCTCTAAAGGGCCCCTCTGAAGGTTCTCTCTGAAGGTTCTCTCTAAAGGGCCCCTCTGAAGG